TATTTTGTGTAGCACCCTCTGCAACAGGCTTGTATCTGCTTGTATCAAATGTTACTTTTATCGTGTGCATACACGAGATAACGATATTCTACAATTTCGTTGGCATCAGAATTCGATTAAAACTGTTTGTATTGGAAATTACCCCCAGACAACTAGCCCCCAGACAACTCCCTCCAGTAAACTTACCCCTAGGACAATTACCTCCGGAAAACTACTTCCTAGGACAACTACTCCCCGGACAACTACCCCCTAGGTCTGGGATAGTTTTTTCGGAGGGAATTTGTCTTTGAGAATGGTTGTCGTAGGGGGTAGTTGTCTGGGGGTAGTTGTCCCGGGGGTAGTTGTCCCGGGGTAGTTTTCCCGGGGGTAGTCGTTCTCGAGGGTGATTGCCCTAGGGGGTGTTTGTTCTATTGGCTAGTTTTCTTAGGGGGTAGTTGACTGGGTGTGGTTATCCAGGAGTGGATGTCCAGGGGGTAGGTGTCCTAGAACCCTCATTTTCCCAAATAGACTGTAGTGTTATGAAAACCGTTAGGAAACGCAAAATGAAATTTCAATATTCAATCATAAATATCTTGTTAATCAGACAGGCAATCGGCTCGTTAAAGTCATGAGTCGTTTGAGATTCGCTCCTCTGTAAACGCTCAGTAGAACTAATGCGCATTTACGAGCAGTGACGAGCAGTAACGAGCAGTGACTCACTGCTCGTAAATGCGCAATGGCCCTACTGAACGTTTAAAGAGCAGTGCCCGGTTAACCTATGGTCACAAATCAGAGCAGCGACCGACCGAGTAGTAGCCTGCTTTGTCGCCGCTTGAATTTAGGCATCGCCCGACGATTTTTTTTTTGGAGAAGTCGACGGAGCAGGCTGTAGAGCCCCAGCAATGCCTGGGCGGTGTCCTTTCGATTTCCCGTCGGTCGCCGCCTCGCCGGTCAATTTTAGGTCCAAACTGGGCGAAATCGGAGAGCTTCTCCGGGCGGCGTCCCGGCAGTGACCGACCGATGACCGACCGATACCCGACCGGTCTCCCACCGGCCATCGGCTAATTTTAAGGAAATTGCCCGGCAGCCGGTGTCATAGGCGATTTGTTCCGTGCAGGCGATTCATTCCGTGGAACCAATCGGCGGGATATTTAGCCGCCGATCCGTTCCGAATCTCATCGGAGAGCGTGCGTGCTCACGTATTATTGAATACACGCCATGGTACACCCCTAAAGCAAAATGAACTATTCTGGTCGGCCTTTGCAACCAATCAAACTTCTCCAAATTAGCTACACCAACGATTGCCAATTTGAGAACTTTGTATAGAAATGCAGATTCCCGTTGTTCAAATATGTTGATAATTGCGGCCAATGATTGACCACAAACAGTAACTATAGACAGCGCCGTCGCGAAGCGACGGGGACTGGGTCGGGTCTAGCAAAAAGGGCAGTTGTTGCCATAGGCTTAGTTTGCCTGTAAAAGCAGATGTCGGGGTGTTTTCTAATCAGGCCTTCTAATTTGGTTTGAATGCTGCTTTATATGATATCGTGTTACGTCAACCACCTATTACCGGGCTTCATCACAGAATCTAATTATGCATGTTGGCTGCATGAATGATGTACATGTAGTTTAAATGAAAGAGATGCGGGGTGGGGTGGGGGGGGGGGGCCGGGGTCAACACAAAAAGAAATGAGTGGTCGAGCTGATAATTAAGAAGGACCAATAAAAAAAAAAAGAAGAAGAAAAGAAGAGAAAGAAAATTCCTCAAGTAAAAGACGTGTCCGGCAGAATTAAAAAAAAAAGAAATAAAAGAAAAACCCGACATATTTTGTTGAATTTTCAACCCTTGGTACTAGCCGACAAAAGTTAGTGTTAAACAGAGCCATAGCATAGTGTGTCTATACCCCCCCCCCCCCCATTCCGCTACATACAGTGGCAGATCTGTTGCGCCCCCTTGTTTGGAAACCACTAATTTCACGTACATTTTCACGTACATGTAGGCCTAATATCAGAAAACTATCGCCTGCCCCCCCCCCACCCCCCCCCCCCCCCGTGCCGAGTATGCACGTGCGTGCATGCATATGATATACATGTACTCTATGCGCATATACTAGTCAGTAGGTTATTTATTTATTTATTTTTCGTACCGCGCGCGGGTAATTCCGTACGAGGTTATAAACCTTATTATTAAGTAATATTTCAAAAAAAATAATATTGGTTTTCATTCCAACAATAAATACAAAAGTATCAAGATAAAGCTAAAATTTATTTTTACCATGTTTATTCGACACAAGTAATAAAAATATACGCGATTATATAAGCAGAAACGTTCGGCCAATGTCGGATAAGAACGGCGGCTTTCGAACGTATCTGCGAACGAGTCGATCCAGTAGATTCGTTCCGAGGAACAAATCGGCGCGCCGATTTGTTCCGGGAAATCGCCTACCACACCGGCCGGTTATGGGCGGGGTGCCAAAGTACGATCTTTAGAAAATCAATTGGCATACTCTAGGTTACTCAGAATTCGACTCACAAGGCACTGAATTGTTTAAATAATATTATGTATGCTTATGCATATATCGCTATAGAAATTTCTTTATTTATACACTGTTGGTCATAAATGTGGAATAAATATTTTTACCCAACAATGTATGGAAGGATTTTGACAATGATTTATTCCTAATATAGATCTAGATAATTGTATACATTCTCAGATTTTATTAAATAATAATTTTAGGAGTTTTTGCTTTGCGTGTCTGCTAAAGAATATGTGTGCTACTATGCTAATCAATCAGGGGACCTACGCAGGGGCGGATCTAGCTTTTTGCTAAGGGGGGTTGACCAATAATGACGATGCGGAGCATCGTCCACGAGCCGCGAAGCGGCGAGCCGATTTTTTTTGGGGTGTTTATTTGAACCCCGTAAGTGATGTTTTCCTGGCATCTATTAACACAATGGAGACCATAAAAAGCAGTGCATGAACACGTCCGTATTACACCCCCATGTATGGTAATTTACCCTGTATGCCAACTTTTTTGCATGATTCAAACATACCTTCCAGTAAAAAAAGATGCGAGACTGGATTGCCGCAACTTCTTTGCCCTGTTTGCTTCCATATTGCTTGTCACTACACTCAGACCAGACTGATAAAAAAGTGAGCAACTTGAACAAGTAATCCAGGAAATGAGCAGCCCAGCTCAGCGTGCGTTGCCAGGTTAAATCTTCACAAAATCCCCACCCAAACGACACTTAAAATATCCCCAAAGTTGCCAAATTTTGACAGAAAATCCCCAAATTCGTTTTTCATAAAACTCAATATTATTTCATTCCCAAATATTTATTTTTCATCCCCAAAGACTTCAACAATCCCCCAATTTTTTTTTTTTTTTTTAATGTGGGGATTTTGGGGGTGAGAATCGGCAACGCTGGCCTAGCTTGTCACTTCGGCGGTGGCCCGTGTCCTCAAAAAGCTGATGGGGGGGGGCAAGGGACTCTGTGACATTTGTTCGCCCAACCCCCCCCCCCCCCCTCCCCCCAAAAAGAAATAATAATAATAATAATAATAATAATAAATGAAATAAATACATAGAAATAGAATAAAATAAAATTACAAGTTTAAAAAAAAAGATAAGATTTTAAAAAATGGTCCCCGGATTTTTTCCCCCTCTAGATCCGCTTCTGCTACGTCAATAAGTCATAACTGACAGTGCAATGAATCATCAATAATTCATTGCAAAATCCCCCGATCCCCAACAGGTAAAATTCATTTGTGGGGTAATGCACTATGATTCAAGGCATGGCCACACAGAGGATTTTTGCTGTTGGGGAACGGGGCAAAATGCAATAATTTATTGATAATTTATTGCATTTTCTTTGTTTTTTGGTATTTGAAGGGCGGCCCCGTACCCTAACCCCCGCTGTGTACATTCATGATTCAGTGGCTAAGCAATCTTCTCGTTACTGTGAGGCCCCAGGATCAAAACCGTCTCGATGTGTTATGTTTTGTGAGACATTTATCCTCATTATTGTCAGTTATGACTGAAGGACGTAGGTCCCCTATAGTTGATTAGCATAGAAGCACACATATGCTTTAGCAATCACTCCAAACAAACACTCACAAATTATTATTCGATAAAATCTGAGATAACGCATACTATTATCTAGATCTATTAGGAACAAACCATTGTCAAAATCATTCCATGAATTGGGGTAAAAATAATTGTTCCACCTTTATGACCAACAGTGTATAAATATATATATATATATATATATATATATATATATATATATATATATATATATGATTTTATATATATATTTAGTCTGCAGATGTATTCCGATGTTGTATCCCCCATTACAACCCTGCACCCGTACTTGACCATTGCCATATTTAAAACATTCATTAGCATAATACAAAAATCTGAAATATATATATGAACTGTGTTTACACTTGAATAGAAACGCTTACATACCCGCAATTAGTTTATCCAAGGCTAAATATTCACGACAAAACACACAACAAAAAAGAAAGATTCAAATAATACAAAAAGTGAAGTTAGTACTGTTTTTATTGCGTTCTCCATTCAACAGAACGTGACGGATTAGTCATATTTTTGTTCTTCTAAGTTTGATTTTATATATATATATATATATATATCTCTAATTTATTTGTAATGAACGTTTCTACATTTAAGACAAATGCATGACCTTTTCAAAGACAGAGGTGAGTAACAATTTGAAACCCCAAAATATTAACAAGTGACAACATGGAGTAAAAAGACAGAAACACAAATAAACTTGCTCTGAAAGTTTCTTATGTTGCTCATTAGAAGTTTTTCTAAGTCTGAATATAATATATATATATATATATATATAATTTTTACTTATATATTTGTAATGAACGTTTGTACATTTAGGACAAAGGTAAAACCTTTTTGAAAAAGACAGAGGTGAATATCTAATAACAAGGAGCCATCCGAAACCAAAGGCTATCAAGAGGTGGAAACATGGAGTAAAACAGAATAAAAACAAATCGGGTTGCTCATTAGAAGTAGAAGAAAATCAACTTGTTTAGAAGCACTTCCTGTGGACGATGGATGGACCGGACTCATCGTATTCCTGCTTGCTGATCCACATATGTTGGAGGGTTGTTTAGAAGCACTTCCTGTGGACGATGGATGGACCAGACTCATCGTATTCCTGCTTGTTGATCCACATCTGTTGGAAGGTGGGGAGAGAGGCAAGAATGGAGCCTCCGATCCATACAGAGTATTTCCTCTCTGGAGGAGCGATGATCTTGATCTTCATGGTTGGTGGGGCAAGGGCGACAATCTCTTTCTGCATCCTGTCTGCGATTCCTTGGAACATGGTGGAGCCTCCGGAGAGAACGGTGTTGGCGTATAGATCCTCACGGATGTCAACACCGCACTTCATGATGCTGTTATAACAGGTCTCATGGATTCCAGCAGATTCCATTCCAATGAAAGAGGGCTGGAAAAAGGTCTCTGAGCAACGAAATCGCTCGTTGCCGATGGTGATGACCTGTCCGTCGGGAAGCTCGTAGCTCTTCTCGAGGGAGGAGGATGAGGCAGCAGTTTGCATCTCCTCCTCAAAGTCCAGAGCTATGTAGCCGAGCTTCTCCTTAATGTCACGGACGATTTCACGCTCAGCTGTAAGAGATAATAATGGATGCAGTCACATATCGATTACAGACAAATTGTAAAATGTGTTGAAATCCACCTGGACTTAGAGGGGTATTGTTATAAATTATTATCGATCTAATCCGATATTCCTTTTTCAAAAGCATTTAAACAAGCAGTAACAAGAATGAACATGCAGATATTGTGGTCTGCGGCTTAAAGATAACGAGGTATGAGGTTTGAATTCCACCCCGAGACGACTGCCCTTTCGTCAGACATTCATCTGTTAACTTTAGTATTCTAATGTTATCATTATCACTATTTTAATTATCATCATTAGTATTGTATCATGTCTTACCAGTAGTGGCGAAAGAGTAGCCACGCTCGGTAAGGATCTTCCTGAGGTAGTCGGTGAGATCACGTCCAGCCAAGTCCAGACGCATGATGGCGTGGGGGAGGGCGTAACCCTCATAAATAGGTACAGTGTGTGAAACACCGTCGCCAGAGTCGAGAACGATACCAATGGTACGACCAGAGGCGAAGAGGGAAAGCACGGCCTGGATGGCGACGTACATGGTGGGCGATTTGAAGGTCTCAAATATGATCTCACAAAAGAAGTAAGGATAATAAATCAATGCGATAGGTTGCAATATAATGTATAAGCAAATATTTATTTGAATTAAGAATAAACTCTAGGGATTATAAAGAGGGCAAATTCAACTTTTTTTCTCTGAATGTTCGTGGTTTTGCAGGCGCGGATCCAGGATTTCTTAGGGGGGGGGGGCCCAAATTTGAAGCTATGCGAGCCAAATATCGAGGCTCCCGATCCCCGCCGTTCCGCAGGCCATGACATGTAGGCATCTCAGGAAGCATATTTCTTGCCTGGCTGTAAATTTAGGAATTGGCGTTGACGTAATGGGGGGGGGGTGCAGGGAGGGGCGGTTCCCCCCCCCCCCGAAGCTTTGACGTTTCATTAAATTATTAGAGAAAGAAGACGGTTCGTTTTACCGTTCTCGACTTTTAATCCTTGTCTAAATTCAGTTCCTCCACCTCCTGCGCGAAGCGTGGAAGCTTTGTAATCTCAATTATAAGAGAAACAAGACGATTCGTTGTACCGTTCTCGAAAATAATCCTCGTCTGAATTCAGTTTTTCCCCCTCCCTACCGGAAATTTTTATGTTTCATTAAATCATAGGAATTAATTCTTTGAAATGCTAGAGCGCCGCAATGGCGGCACAGCTAAAGCTGGGGTAATAATCTCCAAGTTTGGAAGCGCTTAGTGATTCTAATAAGCGCTATATAAAAACTGAGTATTATTATTATTATTATTATAGAAAGAAGATGATTCGTTGTACCGTTCTCGACTTTTAATCCTTGTCTAAATTCAGTTCCGCCATCTCCTGCGCGAAGCGTGGAAGCTTTGTAATCTCAAGGCAAGGGAGGCAAGGGCCTTTTGCCCCACCCCCATCCCGATCCGTAACTTGTTGGCGGGAAAATTGCAACTGAGTTCCCCCTTTTCTTTTTTTCTTCCTCAATTTTCCTTCCCTTTATCTCCTCTTTTCCTTTTTTCTTTCCATTTCCTTCCTGCTCTCTTATTTTTTTTTGATTGGAGGGAGGCAAGGCCCTTTCGCCCCCCCCCCCGATCTCCTTCGTGCCCCTTTTCTTTTCTTCTTCCTTTTCTTTCTTTCCCTTTCTCTCCTCTTTCTCTTTCCCTTCTTTTCCTTCTTTTCCTTCTCTCTCTCTCTCTTTCTCTTTTGCGGAGGGGGGGGGGGGGAGCGCCCCCCTGGATCCGCGCCTGCATCTACCTTATATATACTAACATTAGACCCTAATAATGGATCTAGAAGATTGCTTGACCTTGTCTGAGTGACTGGTAAACTTTTTTTTCTCAATTACTTGGTCTAACCGTGAAAACCGTCTAATTTTACTTTAGATTTTCAAACAGTAACAGTTACGACCTAAATTAGGCCTAAGGTCAAGGGCTGTACTCTACATTTTGATCAAATTAACAACCTTAGACTTTACTGAAACTGTTGTTCTCTATGATAAAAGTGGGAAAGGAACACCTTTTTTAAACAACAATTGCTCCGCCCCCAAAGTGCCCCGTAAAATACAAATGCTTCGCCGACCAGGCGCGTATCCAGGATTTCTTAGGGGGGAGGGGGGGGGGGCCAAATTTGAAATTATGAGAGCCAAATATTGGTACGTAATGGTGACACTGGCAGTGACGAAATGAGCAAAAACGGTTGGGGACGGGGGGGGAGGGGGGGTTGACAAAAAAAATCCGCACCACTCCATTCTTACATTCAGGCCCCGCTAAACGTTTCTCCAAGTAGGTGGGGGGGGGGGGGGTATGTATTTACGATCAGGTAGAGCGTTGAGTAAATTGGCATGGGGCCTAGGGGCGAACCCCCTGCGGGGGTCAAGGGGTTTTGCCCCCAGAAGCTCAGGGGAGTATAGGCATTTTATTACGGTCATATGAGAATTTTTGATACCTTATTTGTAACACCTGAAGGTTACTTATTGGCTTGGGTACAGGGGCGGAGGCCCCAGAGCTCAGGGGTTTTAGGCAATAAATTACGGTCAGATGAGCATCCAAGGGCTCGCCTTAGGGCCCCTGGTGGGGTTCAAGGTGCGGAGCCTCAATTACCGTCAGATGAGCATTATTTTGATACCTTATTTGTGACACTGGCAGGTCACTAATTGGTGTGGGGTCCAGGGGCGGAGCCCCCAGGAGCTCAGGGGTTTTAGGCATTAAGTTGTCGTCAGATGAGCATCCAGATGCCCGCCTTAGGGCCCTATGTGGAATCCAGGGGGCAGAGCTCGTTCCCCCCCCCCCTCCCCAAATTTCCAAGATCGGTTGATATTTTTTAGATTCCTTTTTTTTTTACCTCGATCGATTACATGTATGTGCCCCACCCCCCTCCCCTAACATCAAACTCTGGCTACGTGCCTGCTGTATAGTACAGTAACATCAATGCTCTACACCATTCGAACTAGTTAATGGGATGTTTTGAATTACAAATAAAGTACATGACATAATATAGAACTTACACATTTTGAGCTGTTTCATTGCATGTCTTGATGTGTGTATCATGTATGCTTATTATAGTCATGATTGAAGTTTGGGAGTATCAAAGATTCTGAGCAGCATGGTATCCGAGTTATCGAGTACAGGTATATTTGTTTTAAACTTAAACTTGCCATTTTTATTTTCTATGTCAAAATGCCCTTCATTCAAATCAGGTTCTGAGCATTCCTAAACTCATTTTAATGCCCATCTGTACTAGTTTACAGGAGGGATTAGACCACCCTGCAAGGTCACTGGACAGTTGGTTATCTCATAAAATCAGCTCTCAGTTAACATAAGATAAAGAGGATCATGAGGGAGCAATGGTCGCCGATTAGAGGGCTCAAGTAGTAGTACAATGGAGATTTAAAAGGTGCTGTATTTCAAAGCCAAAAATACTTTCTGTGTTGGTCTTGATAGTCATTGTACATTAAACTAGTCTTTTACCATATCAAAGTGTTTTATAGACTTTGTTTCTTAAATGCTTGACATCCCAATGATTTTTTTTCTTCATGGAAAACAAATTATTTTTAAAAAAATTAAAAAAATAGGGGGGGGGGGATAAAAAAAAAAGACACACGAAAAATGAAGTTTAAAAAAAAAAAAAAAAAAATCCGCCCGCCCGCCCCTACTCCAGAAAAGCAATCGAAGACAACCAAGAGATTTTTTTTTGTTTGGCCTTATCGGCGGTTTGTGGGGATCACGCATTCACTAAGAATCGCGCCATCACTTGGCCTAACGTTTATAGTCGGCGAATAACACTTATAGGGTGCAGAAATAGAGAGGTAGTTGAGTGAGAGCCCTCGCTGAGTTAGAACATGTTAGGCAATATATCTCCCCGGCAGGCGCGTACGCAGGGGGGGGGGGGGGGGGGGGGGGGGGGGGGGGGGGGGGGGGGGGGGGGGGGGGGGGGGGGGAGGGGGGGGTGTTTGGGGGTTAAACCCCTCCTTTGGTATTTTTATGTTTATAAACCCCCCTAAAAAAAAAAAAAACTTACATACACGTATAGTTTCAGCACACACAAACGGCATATATAAACGTTGGCACCAGATTCATAATTTCTGAGTCTACTTCTACTACTACTACAATACTACTATGTTACTACTCAGCACTACTTGTAATACACCTACAGAACAGTCAGGCAACATGAAACTTGCGATGATGATCGTGTCACTTGCCCTGTTTTTTGCTGCTGTATTTTCCTCCGTGAAGCAGTGGGAACTGAAAATCGAAGAAGGGGATTGTAATTACGGCTTTCCACGTTCATACAAGTGGTGCATTCATATTAATATTGATCCCAATATTACTTTCAACATGATTAATATCAATAATTTTAGTCTTTATATCAATTTTAACTTTGAAAATGTGTAGTACGTCGCACTTTTGCACCCGTGTCTAGTTGCAGTATTTTCAGCACCCAAACTGTATACAGTAACATCAATGCTCTACACCGGCCGTTCGAACTAGCTCTACGTACACCAGGACAAATCGATTGGGATGTAGTTTTGAATTGCAATAAAATACATGTACTTACAACACATTTTGAGCTGAATGATTAGTACATTTTTGCATTGCATGCCATGACGTGTGTATCAGGTATGCTTATTATAGTCATGATTGAAGTTTGGGAGTATCAGAGTTATCGAGTACAGGTATATTTGTTTTAAACTAAAGTAGCTAGGAGAATATATTAACGGGTGAAAAGGAAAGCGAGACAAGAGAATGTTGATAAAGATATCAACGCATTTACATGCACGGGAAGAAAGAGACAGAGAAAGAGAAGGTGAGACAGATAGAGAGCAAGCCACGAGGGAGAAAGAGAGGTTGGAGAGAGAGAGAGAGAGAGAGAGAGAGAGTAGTGGATTCGGGAGTACAAGTTCAAATGTAAGAGAGTCTTGGAGTATCAGCTTTAGACTTCTTTTTTTAGGGGGGGGGGGGGGGTACGTGGGACTAAAAATATTACAGCTTGGGAGAATTAGAGTTGAACAAAATTGGGTGAAAGTTTTAGAAGATAGCTAGACTGTACTTTCTTCAGGAATGTGCTGCAAAAAGGAGCTTAATCTCCAATCGAATTTTTCTGGAAACTAGTCTAGGTTTTCGGTGATCTTCAGGGAACTTGAAATGTAATTTGTTAGGGGGTAGTGAGCATATACATATATATTTTTTTGGCCCTCGAAAATTTGAAAATTTGCACATCCCCCCCCCCCCCCCCTTGAGCGCCAGGGGGGGGGGGCATCTAAAAAAAAAAAGGGCAAAAATTAACGCGTTTTTACACGTTTATGTGCCGAGAGGGGGGGCGCCCCCCCCCCCCACCCTTTGATCCGCCACTGGCTGACGCCGTTCTTCAGGTCACTCGAAATGTTGTTTGTGTAACTGAATGTGTAACATTCCACTTGGCTTTGAAGTTCCATGCTCCGAACCGCGCTTCCACTGCGGGGACTTTCGGAAGCCAGGCTCCAGTTTTACATTTATTACAAAATATTAAATTACCGACAAAATTTCAGTGTAAATCAAAAACTTTATATAGGGATTTTATTGGGAATAGTGCATCAAACAAATTTTCAAATTTAAAACTCCGTCCTTCCTTTACTTTGTGTGCCAGAGTTGGTAAAAGAAAAATTACATCCTGTCAAAAACTCAATATTTTAGGATGATGCGCTAATTTGTGCATGCTTTAATGTCCCGTTATTTGATCCATGGTTTACAATCTTCAATAACATTGGCCCGAATTCACAAAGCAAGGTTTGAGCTCAGACCAAGGTTTGAGCTCAAACCTCCTTTTGTTCCGCCAAACCTCCTTTTTTTTTATTTACAAGGTTTGTAAATAACAAAAGGAGGTTTGGCGGAACAAAAGGAGGTTTGAGCTCAAACCTTGCTTTGTGAATTCGGGCCATTAAGTTTGCTAATGCGTGTTTTCGCGTGTTTTATGTATTTTTCAAGTTTAAAAAAGGATGAAAGTACACAAGTTTGTGTTCGCTTGTTCTACTCTTTACACATTCAACAATGGATGAGAAATCATTGGAAGGGACAGCGAACAGTTGCAGTGATACCATTTTCTGATGTAGGAATTCTAACTCCTGAAATTTCATGCGCTCTTTTATCTCACCACCTGGTCAACAGTTGCAGATTAGCGCATAACTTTTCGGCGGCTTGGAGCATGGGGTCAAAGGAGAGCGGCTTGATTCCAGTCCTTCTCTATCACGTCCCTGATCAGCTTTAGACTTCTTTCTTTTTTGGGGGGGGGGGGGGGGGGTACAAAATTACAGTTTGGCAATATTAGAGTTCAACAGCATTGGGTGAAAGTTAGAAGATATCTAGACTCTAATTACTTCAGGAATGTGCTGCAAAAAGGGGCTTCATCTTCAATCGAGTTTTTCTAGCATGAGGAGTATCAGTATTTTTATAAATTTTTAATGGACTTTTTTGTTAGTTTGAGCAGGGCATGTGAGTTAAAGTCTCACCTCCCTGGTTTGAGAGTATTGCTGTTCAGAGTACACTCTCGGAGTCTGGAAGCTGTGGCAGATTTTTTTTTTTTGGGGGGGGGGGGGGGGGCTGGGTTTATAAAACTGCTACCAGCCTCTACTCAAAAATGGAGGGGGAAAAAAACAACATATTTTAGAGTAAGAAAAGAAAGAGGGCTGGCCTTCATATCAGTGTTCTGTCTCTGGATTGTGAAACCATATCAGAAAAATACCCCCCCCCCCCCCCCCCCAAAAAAAAAGTTATTTATAGGTCAACCACCCAAGGACACCGCCCCCCCCCCCCCCAAGACATTTATCACCTCGTATTATTGTCTGGAGCTAGCTCTTTCGATATGTATACTTTACCCTAAAATACCAGAATGCCCCCCCCCCCCTCCCAATACCATACATGCCAACATTTGAAAATCAGAAATCTGTACAAATTATGCTATTTAAAAAAAAAAGAGGAACAATCCTAACTCTCCTATTCAATACTACAGACAAATTTGTACAGGAAGAGGAACACCTGCATTAAAATGATAATTATCTTCTCCCAAAAAAAGGAATGTTCCTCTTTAATCTGAACAGTTGGCATGTATGCAATACACACCATGATGTTAAAGTACAACTTTATTTCATTCTTTTGCAAAAACGTCTATATAAGAACATGTAGATAAATCATTACAATTCCAAAAACTGTCTTTTTCCTCTTTCACTATTCACATTGTGATGATTGAATCCCTATAATTTTTTTCCCCTATGAGAATCACTCAATTGCCCTCGACTATCAATTCTTCACCATACACTCAATAACCTTCCAACATGTGCTTCACTTTCCCCATCTTCCATGCAGGCATGTTTATTCTTATCACCAACTTGTCCAATTCACTCAATTTCTCATACTGCAGTTCCCCATTTCTCACTCAATATTCAATACCTAGTATATTATTCTACACAATTTTCGCATGTACTTGTTTCTGTCGCGCTCCCCCTCTCTCTCCGGCTTTGGACTGATCCAATACCGTTTGTTTATTAATCCACTTAGTTTCCGTGTTTAAATCTTCGCCAAAATTTTACCCACGCCTAGGCCCCGTCTTACAAAAGAGTTGATATTAATCGCAACTTATTTGTGATTGACATCGATTGCAACCATGTACATAAAAGATAGGAGATTGCAAACTTGCGATTGATTTGGATAAATCGTAACCGTTTGTAAGACAGGGCCCAGGGTTATCCAATTTCCATCTCATGTTTGACCAAGTGGGGATGTGAAAATTGGCTTTGGACCAAATACATGTAGCACAGAATTGATTCCCTTTTAATAGGCTCCACTGACCACACATACATTTTCTCCAGCTTCTGTCTGTAAAGAATGAAGGTAGGTTTTGCACCAAAAGAACAGACATATCTGGAAGCCTCTTGCATTCTGCAAACCCTTTTCCCACAATCCATCTAACTCCAACCGCATACAGCTCAACAAAACAATGCCAGCAAACAGCTCTACAAGACACAAAGGAAAACCACATCTGCTAGTCATAACATAACTTGTGTACGCATATATCCATTTATTTTCAATTATGATCTACATGCTTGGGTGTGGTCCAGATGATATAAACCAGGGATGTCACAGATGAAATTGAAGATGAAAAGCGGAGCCGAAACAAGCTGGCGAACATCTGATGTGTGGTGTGAATGGTGACTGAGATTTTGAAGAGGACCACGAGATGGTTTGCTTCATCTAGGTGGAGGCTGCCTCGGCGGCCTGTAGGTCCTTCTTGAGTGGACCCTACAAAGAAAAGTAGACAAAAAAGACAAGTTTAGTCTAATCTTCCAAACATACCAAACAAATTGCAAGGTAATGGAATTTTTTAGTTAATGGCATAATTATGACCATTTTTTGCAGACATAATAAACAAGCGCATTTTTTAAATCTTCAGTCTGGTCACATTAAACAATGCTATTGCAGAGCGAGAAAAGGCTTTTTAACAAATGACCCTGAAAATGGACGTTGTCACACATTCAGCTATAGATCCTAAATACAACCCAGTATCTGCAGGCTTTTAATTTTCTTCTGTTTGTATCTGTCTACAAGCAAGGTGCCATATTCGAAATCAAGCAGAAAATATCATTCATCACGAAATGTTTCAGACACTTTGTGCCAGTATGCAACTAAGGACATCTATTGACATCAGAAGGAAGGCAGCATGGGATTTCAACATTGATTGTCAGAGTGCTATTTAAAGCACATCCCACGGTTTATCGTCATGTGTCACATAAAATAGATTTTCCTTACATCCTCACTACTTCGAACAGGTACGATGCAAATTGCTTTTCAGGACTTTACCACTCTTATCTTCACAACTTTGTTCAGCCCCAATAACGTATACAGAGGTAAATTTTACGACTGCTGCAGCATACTTATGCTACTTTCATGACAAGCATCCCCACCATAGTTACTGTGTGGCCCATAGATATTTCCAATTACTATTGTAGGGAGAGCAGTATCGAAACTGATGTAGCTACTACCCTGGGTATATATGACCGAATTATCACAAATTTTCATCATTTTGGAGTAACTATCGGCAATAAAATCATGAAATTGAATTATAGAATTTACCATGAAAGCCTTCTTCTCGGCATGGGTCTGGAAGCGACCATGTCCAAACTTGGAGGTGGTGTCGATCAGCTTGAGGGTGATCTTCTCCAGAGCAACACGCTTGGTGTGGACGAGCAGAGACTGCACAAAACAAAATATAATACAATGAATACACTTGTATATTTTCAGAGGATAGTTGAACAATGAAAGGAAAGGGGTGGTTGGAATATTAAAGTCAGTGATATACAGTTTAAAACGGAGATGCCTCTATAAAAACACCCAGGCAAATGATTTTAATACCTTCATAACACTTCTCTTTGCAAGAATCTTTACAGAATCATATTTCCTGCTATTCTGTGATAGAATTACTGTGGGCGAGTGCCAATGCCACATAATCCACAGCTTATCCCTCTGAACAAGACAAATGCATAAATATACAAATTCTCCTCCTGCCAGACTTAAAAAAAGAAATTGCCCTGTAGATCCGACCGTAGGGTGTAGTTATTCATCAAGATTTGATACTTGATTTGCTTTTACAATGGGATTCCGCATAACAAGAATTAAACTACCAAAAGAAACTCGTCATTGTATGTTGAGCTTACAATATACTAGAATAACAGATGAAAATTAAGTCAGCTTGAACAGGTTATCTGCAAGATATCTGACTGCTCTTGGAAGTTGTGGACATCAGAAGGAAGGCAGCATGGGATTTCAACATTGTTTGTCAGAGTGCTGTAATAGCACATCCCACGTTTTATCGTCATATGTCCTCTCACAAGACTATAAGCAATGGATTACTTTAACAGTGCCAATTGCATTTCAAGAATTAAAAAAGAAAGAGTACCCTTATTTCTATCTCTTACATGATTTCAAATCTGTACATTGATCAACTACTAATCTTACCTTGCGGAGAGTAAGCACCCTCTTCTTGGGTCCGACGACGCAGCCCTTGATCATCAGGAAGTCGTTCTTCACTTCACCATAGTGAGGGAATCCTCCCTGTCATTGAGGAAAATGAAGAAATGTGGAATAGAAATGAAAACCAAATTAGTACAAGGATGACACCATCTTGTTGATCTTCACTCAGTGTGACAAGGAATCACACGACATGTTCACTGGGTTGCATCATTGAATAACCTGCTAAAATACAGGAAGAGTCATTTTCTGCAAGAGTGACATCAATAAAAGGCTAATCCTAAAGAGTACACTACCAGAGGAAACACTCATTCCATACAGTTTACACAACAGTTTACTTATTTCTGGCTAACAACCAGTTCTAACACTTTTCTTATTTTAAAATTGTAATATTGGCTGAAATCACATTTTCACAATAACGAAGACAAACAAGCAAGTCTTGTGTCTCTCTATCTAACAAACAGTTTTGATTCTGAGTGACATTCAAGAGGTTGCAAAACTTACCATGGGGTTGATGCTCTTGTCGGTGATGTCCTGGATCGTGCCTCCGTTGTTCTTCACCAGCTTGGCACCGTCCAAATGGTAGCCCTTGCCGACGCGGTACACCTTCTTGTTGATCTCGGTACGGTGGTGGTAGCCCTTCTGACCGGCACGGGCAACTCCGTAGCCCACACGGGCTGGATGCCAGGCTCCGATACAGGCCACCTTGCGCAGACCCTTGTGGGTCTTACGGGGCAGCTTCTTGGTTCCCCAACGGGAGGTCACACCTATAGGGCGAAGAGAGATCTTGTGGTTAGGTTGCTGTGTTGTGAACTTCAACAGTTCATGTTATCGCGAGTTCATAATATAAATGCCAAAGGGACTTCATACCTCCCTATATCACATTACTAAATATTAATAGTTACTGACAGTAATTTGCAAGGAATCTGACTGGTCTTGGAAGTTGTGGACATCAGAAGGAAGGCAGCATGGGATTTCAACATTGTTTGTCAGAGTGCTGCAATAGCACATCCCACGTTTTATCGTCACATGTCCTGTCGCAAGACTAAAAGCAATAGATTACTGTAACGGTGCCCATTGCATTTCAAGTATTCTAAACAAATTGTCCCCTTATTTCTATCTCTTACATGATTTCTAATCTGTACAATAATCAACTACTAAATTTATTTCATCTACTCAATATTGACCATACCCCCATTTAGTCCCTAAAGAAGAATAAAATATATAAATAATGAAAGCACTCTATTTGAGTAGACAGGATTTAATCACAAATAATTAAGTGGATACAAACTTGAAGCTTACCCTTGAACCCATGTCCCTTGGTGACACCGATGATGTCGATCAACTCGTCCTGTCCGAAGACCTCAGAGACTGGAATGTTCTTCTCCAGGCGCTCCCTGGCCCACTCGATCTTGTCTCCGATGCTGCCACCGTTGAGCTGGATCTCCATGACGTGAGCCTTCTTCTGGCGCTGGTTCATGAGTTTCATCTGCAATCAAGAGTAGGAAAATGATTTGATTTAAAAACTTTGATCAGTCACTCAACATCTGTTACAACACAAAACACTCATATTCTTTCATGAATGATCATTTTAAATGGACATTCTGTGTGGACATCAGAAGGAAGGCAGCATGGGATTTCAACATTGTTTGTCAGAGTGCTGCAATAGCACATCCCACGTTTTCTCGTCATATGTCCTCTCAGGTCACTCCAAAACTAACAGTGACACTTCGTTTTATCAAATACATGTTCTTATTGAAGCTGTTGAACATTTAAAAAGACAAAATTAACTAGGTGATGTGACCCTAGGCTTCAGATAGAAATGGAGGTACGTTTGTTTTACTTCCATGGAATTCCATACCTGGGTGTGAGCAATGACGCGGATGACGGTGCAATATTTCTTCATGATGTTTAGGTCCTTCTCGATCTCCTTCTTGCCCATCTCATCGGCCCACTTCTTGGAAGACTTGGTGAAAGCCTTCTTCTTGGAGCGGTACCTGTACAGAGACACCCACAAACACACACACAGGAGAGAAGAAAAGAAGAGAGGGGGCGGCTCAAAATGGGGGACGATAGGTCGGGCCTCATCATGCCTGTACGGCAAGAGCGGAGGCCCGAGTGGCTCATCAATGCGACCAGATGGTGCAGAGAGCGGAGCCATGGGGAACAGGGAGGGGCAAAGGTTCATCAAAGCTCCATGAGGTAGCCAAGAGAGGAGCCTCATGAAATCAATGGGCAGATCTTTTTGACAGCTCATCAATGCTCATTGAAGAGGCACAGAGCGGAGCCATGTCATGGGGCTTGACATGTTAGCGTTAAATACAATGATGGTAAATGAATCTCCACTAAGTTATCTATAAGCTGTTCTTGTACTTAATATGGATATTCTTCCAGAAACTCATCAAATGAAGGGAATAAGTTGGTCAATATTTACTGATACCAAGTCTCAAATGCATGCTGGTTATTTTGTGATAGCTTTGTAATACTGAATCAATACTTTCAACTCAGATCAATTAAATTCTCATTGATTTACAGGAATCTGAAACATTATTTTCCAAAAATTGTGATTCCTCAAATAAGAAAAAAATTCCCTCCGTGATCTCACCAGTTTTTGTAGAATCGGCGCTTGCACTCGTCACTGAGATGTTCAGCCCAGACAGTCTTGAGGGCACGGAGACCGGATGGGGTCTCGATGTAACCCACAAGACCGACAATGATCATGGGAGGTGTTTCAAGGATGGAGACGGCTTCAACTACTTCCTTTTTGTTCACCTCTGCACAATGAAGAACAAACAAATAATATATACATGTCAGGCTTGTTAAACTTCTGAACTTCACGGTAATCAAGAGTAGGAAAATGATCAGTCACCGAACATCTGTTATGACACAAAACACTTCCTGAGTATTCTTTTATGAATCACTATTTTAACTGGACGATATTTCTATGAAATGTGTGGACATCAGAAGGAAGGCAGCATGGGATTTCAACATTATTTGTCAGAGTGCTGTAATAGCACATCCCACGTTTTATCGTCATATGTCCTCTCAGATCACTCTAAAACTAAGAGCGAGTGTTCTTTTTTCTTCAAATAAATGTTCTTATTAGAAGTTTCAATGATGGACACGTCTTCAACTACTTTCTTATGTTCACCTCTGCACCATCAAGAACAGATTATATACATGTAAGGCTAGAATTCTGAACCTCACTAAACTCACACAAAGTGTGAGGAGTACAAAAGAGAGACGAAGGTAACCACCAAAAACTAACATAACCCATTGTGGTAAAAAACTAATATCGTTCAAAATAAAATTATTTTTTCTCTCATGCTGAAGCCCAACGGATCATGGATTGTTCTAAATATTTGTTTTTTGAGGACACAAATACTGTGATAGACTTGCTTGAACCAGGTCTGTCATCTGAAAAATGTTTGTGTCATCCATGGGAAAAGCCGTTGAGAAAGCCTTGGCCCTGCCTTGGTGATGTCTGCTGTGGACAACAAAAATTGTAATACTTTGATTGCATTCTTACTTGAACCGGGTCTGTCCACGTCCCTCACAATATGGGTCATGCCAGCCTTGTATCCAAGGAAGCAGGTCAGATGCACTGGCTTGCTCTTGTCATCCTTGGGGAAAGCCTTGGCTTTGCCTCGGTGACGCCTGCTGCGCTTGCGGGGCAGGAAGCCCAAGGAACCGTGCCTGGGAGCTGAGAATTTTCTGTGAGACTGTAAGTGACAAAACAATATCAAAATTAGCAATGTCTTCGTTTTCTGGAAAAATACTCCAAAAAAGACAAGAAAATTGACACGAAACGGGCAATTGTGGAAGATTTATATGATTTTTGGTGTTATAGTGAGGTATCTCCACAGACTATGGTCAGTAAGGGCGCTGGTCCGAGAATGAGGACTGTCGGCATAAACGAGGATATTCTCATGAACGCAAACACATTCCTAAAAAAATTCTTCCAACGCTCTGCGGGTGTAGGGTTCCTGATCCGCGTGCTGGCAATGCGAAAAACAGATTCCACCTAATAAAACACCCCCAGTTCACTGTCTACGTGTTGTCCGTCTTCCCAACAATATATTGATTATAACCAGTAAGGGCGCTGGTTCGAGAATAAGGATCGTCTTCATAGGCGAGGATCGTCCCCCTAAACACGGACCGATGCGTCCTAAAAAATAAGGACCGTCTGCATTTTTTTGATCGGCGCATTGGCAATGCAAAAAACGGATTCTGCAATGATTTTCTTGATGCATTTTACATTGACATTGTACAGAGACTTTCACATTATAAGCAATAAATCCTTGGGAAGATGGACAACCCATAAAAGTAGACGGTGAACTAGGGTTATTTTCCCCCGGGGAATCCATTTTTGGCATCGCCAGTGGCCCGTTCTGTAACATGAAACCCCAAGAGCGCCGATGAAAAAAAAACGTCCTCAAAAATGCTGACGACCCTTATTTTTGAGGACGCATTTTGTCCTTGTTTATGAGGACGATCCTCATTCTTGGACCAGCGCCCCTACTGATAACGTGAAAATCTCTGCTGTATCAATGAGAAATGCATCATGGAGCATAATCGCGGAATCTGTTTTACGTGGTGCCAACGTGCAGATCATTAATATAAGGTTCGTCCACAAAAAAATTTAAGGTCATGATTTGTCCGCGTTTTAACAAGGACATCCTCATTAAATATTCTGATGATCCTTATTTTAAGATCAACACCCAAACTGATGGTCAGTCGTGAACAAGCGTCAACTTCTTTCTCAATTATCAGTAGGGGTCCGGGCTAACTCGGACCAGGGGATAACTCGGCCCAGCTGCAAAAACGGTCATTTTTGGTCATTTTACCCCAACCCTAAACCTAAACATGCAAAAAAATGACTGTTTTTACAGCTGGGCCAATTGTCCCCTAGACCGACTAAGCCCGACTCCATCAGCAGGGGCGCTGATCAGAGAATAAGGAACATTGGCACACGGGAGGAATCGTCTTCGTAAACGCGGACAGACGAGTTCCCATTATTTTTACTGACAATTTTTATATCAGATCCGCGCGTAGGCGATGCGAAAATCGGGTTCCGCGATAATTTTATTACGCAAAAATCTGTTTTTCGCATCGCCGTTGCGCGGATGAGGAACCCAAAAACGTCTGCGAAATTACGGACAATCCTTATTTCAGGGGGACGCATTTTTAATGAGGATATCCTCATTGATTTTGGCGGACGATCCTCATTCACGGTCCAGCGCACCAGACGGGTATAAAATGGGACCGGGCATAGAAGAGGCACATCAAGAGTCTTAGTCTAAGCATCAAAAGAACATAGTATATCAACCACAAATACAATCACCCCTCATTACGCTCCCACATGACACGACAAGCAATGCAGACAGAGTTGGGCCAGGTAGAGCGCACCAACATTTCTTTGGCTCACATTGCCTACACTACACAACACACATTTAAAAAAAAAATCGTACCCCAAATTTCACCTTAATTATACCTAAAATATTGCCAGTATAACTGTAACACTATATTTATAAAGCAGAGAATTTATTTAACTTCGATTCAGATACTACTGATCGGAAAGATGTTCCGTATAAATGACAGATTTAAGACGATTTTTATGCAAACTTAGAGTTCATTACCATCCTGGTTGTGGACGTGTGAAAAAGAGGACGTGAGATCGAGAAGGCTCGATCAATGTAAGAAATATTTCTGAATTATCAAATAGCTTGATATTTTAAAAAGAACTTAAAAAGGTAATTGAAATTATTTTATTATATTAATAAATAAAATTCAAAATAAAATTAGTATCGTAAACTTTAACTATTAATAAAATTAATTGACCTTAGGAATACTTTCATTGAATCATCCAGTATAAAGTCGGGAGCAAAAGTTACTATATTTTCCATCCTTATTTTTACACCTTTTTAGAGCAAAATGGGTGTATTAGAGGAATTCATAGGAAATGCATTTTATTATACTATCGACGCACCTGTAACCTTTGTAAGAGGTATGATATTTCGATGATTAATTCAGATTTAGTAAACAAATTTAGATCTAGTGCACAATTTTTAGTTTGCACTTGACTAACGTAATTTTGTACATGTGGGACAATGTGAAATAGTCTAATGTGAAGTTAGTGTTGTTGTGTTGTTAACTTAAATAGTTACTGTTCACTAGGCCTGGCCTAGGGTGGTATTCTGTCTTTTAAGAAGTTTATCTTTATAGCTTATTCAATGGCGTATTGTATCAACTATCAATCATCAGTCAGATAGATGGTTCTGCTGAGCTTGAGATTGAGACTGAGTCTGAGGGAGAGTGAGACTGAGAATCAGAATGAGAGTGAGAGTGGGACTTTTCCTGTCGATCGTCAGGGCTCTGGCTGAGTGGCTCCCCTAGCCCCTGACAGCTTCTATTCATAGAATGAAGATTGAAATATATACTGGATGGTAGTACACTACAAACGCACGACCCAGCATGCGTTAGTGGTAAACACTAAATGCAGTGCATGCAATAATTGGTTTCTTTAAAATTAAATTGGTGCCGCTTCCGTACACACAAGCTGCTTGCGGCCAGTTCACAGTGCACACCATCTGCAGATACTGAGCCAGCACTGCTGCAGTGCATTTACATTACGCACGAGAGGGTCAAGTGCTTTATTTGTTTGATAAAATAGCGACACATGAAAATCAAAACAAACGAAAGTCTAGATCAAACGTTAGAATCTAACGAGAGCTGGTCTATGTCGGTTCTACTTCTAGAAAATTAAAAAAGAAGACCTTGCTACTTAATTGCTCTATACGTCACTGCGCTGGAGCGTGCAATGATACTTTTCGCTGCACCTTTTTTCCCCTCTGTGCAGACCGCACAAAAAAATGTGCATGTCATGTGACACGTTTTGACCAACCAATCACGATGCTTAAAATACTAGAGCTATTTTATAAGCAGGAATAACCGTCTGGTAAGGGAAATTCTTCAATAAAACTAACATTTGTCAACCTTGGATCCCCATACCCAGACGATACCCCTTACCGCCAGTGAAAAAAATACACGGGGGCTCAGGGCGAATTAGCCCCCGAAATGCCCAAAAGAGCCCCTGAAAATCAGAAAAGACCACCCATAAATTTGCATAGAGTTCAATGCAAAACAAGTTTAAGAATGTTGTATTCATGCGGGCAAGCTTGAAAAGTAGCCCCCGAAAAATAAATATTAATTTTTTTCCCTGCTGACCGCTTGCACAAGACTGGTGAAGGAAATTATTTAAAGGTGTTTTTGGGGGGTAAACATTTTCAGTGGAGCCAGATGCAGTCTCAATGGAACAACCAAAGTAAATAAAGAATAACATAAAACGGGGCGTACGGAACCCAACGACTCAGCCAGCCGCTGAATAAGAATAAGCGTGGGGGGACATATTTTTTTTTTTTTTGTCCCGAAATTTGACTGATCAACATTCCGTTCTATTGGGGGGGGGGGGGGGGCAAATGTCATCTTTTTTAGGTCATCAATTACCATTTTTTTATTTAAGAAAAGACAAAAATCTAATATCTAAAATCAAAAGGGGGGGGGGGGTTTCCCCTAAAACATACACATAAACAAAAATGAAGAGGGGGTGGTTTAACCCCAACCCCCCCCCTTGTGTACGCGCCTGTTGGAGCATACGCACGTTGTCAACTCGTTTATTACAAAGTCATTAACTGTTTACTGGGGGCATAATTATTTAGACAACAATATGTATTTGTAGAACAGTAGAAGTAACATTTGAAGCTCACAGTTTGAATACAGGAAAGGGACGAGGAGCCCCTTTACATCAAGAGCAAGACATGATTAGGTGATTGGCGCACTTAAACGCCCTTCTGGCTTTATACCTATAATGCATCTACATGTATTTACATACTTTTGTTGTCTTTTGACACACTATTATCTTTTGTTACTTTTATGTATACAGACTTTGTTGATAGCCAACGCAAGAGAAGTCCATACTACTATTACCACCAGCGATTTCCTCGAGTTCCTTCCATTGAGGAGTGTGCTGTTGATGACTATGTATGCATGTATGAGGGCAACATGCAGTACAAGAGGGACAGGTTAGTAGCACAAAATAGGATTTTGGGAAGTTAGTATTGAAAGACTTAATGATATTGATAAACCAGTTCAGAGACCACCCTAAATACCCACAGATCTTTTAAACATGGACAAATCCCACTTTCTGCATTTTAGAATAACCACTGCCAAAGTGATGGACGTGCTTCGTGAATACCCTTTGTTTGCTCTCTTGTAAAATATGAATGGTGGTTTGTTTATAAATTTATCTATCCTTTACTTCATAGAATATTAATGATATTAGCAAAAAGTCATATTTTTAATTTTGTATTTCAGAGCTAATCAAATGTCAAGATTATGTATTCAATCAAGATAGATTGAAGCAATAAGGGCTAATATTTGAACTCTTTTCGCGCTTTCATGATCTTCATTTTAAGGGTTGGGTGATGTTGTCAGAACTAGACTCTTGTTCTCTTGTTTTCACCATATATTACATCTGTTTGGATCCAGAAGTGCGTTAAGCCATATACTTTCACACAGATCTAACACCCTTCTTGCTCCAATATACGTTTAGTTGGTCCAAACGGAGGCTGGACATGTTTTGAAGCTCATTTTGTCCATTTTCATAGATTGGTTGATAATTGAATTGAGTAATTGCAGCATATTTTCCCATTCATTTTCTACATTTATACATGTATGTATGTTTAATAGTTGATATGGGTTATGATATGAGCAATTTCATACCCTTTTCTCATCATTTCTCACCATTTGATAGGCTGGTCGATATGGAGATTTTAAAGCATCTGCAGAAGGTTCTTGCTGACTGCAATCTTATGGAAGGACCCAACGCCAAACAATCGTGCAAGGCACAACTTGCAGAGTATGAAGAAGCTGCTGATGGTTATCAGGGAAAATGTAAGTACAATCCACACATACATGCCCACCATGCAAAGACTCTAGTCCTCCCCTCCTCATTCACGCTTTTAACTCTACATTTTTTCTTGTATTGAATTTGCATAATTAATTAACATGAATTAAAACAAGAATTTGTTAATTTGTATTGATATCATATACATATGTAACTATGCATTTATCTATCATCTATGTTACATCATGAAATAAGTGCATGACAAATTTGGTAACAATCATACCTTATTTGGCCGAAATCTTTGAAATATTTGAAATATCCCTGTCTTTTTAGTGTTAATGTTAAATGATTATATTTGAGTATGGATTTTTTCAGCCTTTTTTTTATATTTCTCACCACACTATTTAAAAAGTAATTACCGTAATGATATTCATATGATAATAATATGTCTTGTTTATTCGGGTAGCCTCATCAGTACTAATACTGTTCTCTATGAGGGCCCTGCAATCAAATATTACCCGGCTTTAGCACAGCTACCTTGATAAGGTGCACAAGCATTCAAGAAATTTCTTACTGCTGGGTACCCATTTACTACACCTACATGTAGGTGAAGATTGGCAAACATAGATTAATATCTTGCCAAAGGACATTAGTGCTGCAGCGGGACTTGAACTGTGAACCATGTGATTCACAGTCCACGTTTTATTTAGACCACGACACCTCCATGTGTAAATTTATGACAAATTTAGGTTCTTATAGATGTTAGTCCTGCGAGATGAGTTAATTTATTCCAATTCATCATACCATCTTGTTATTTTTGTTATTGATATCAAATCTTCAATCATATCAGTTTAACTAGGGTTACACTTTATATAATTTGTCTATTACCCACATTCTCCCCCTACGCTCCTTTTGATGATTAACTTACTCTATTTACATTGATTTATATTTCATATGTACCGTATTGTAATTTTAAAGTTTATTTGCATTTCATTTTTGTTTCGTTTAATATATGATTGTTTATTGTTGTATTTTGTTTGTTATAGCGCCTAGAGACTGCGGTGGTAAGCGCTTGAAGGTACTATGTCCCTGTTGCAGCCAACCTCAAATTCTGTAGAACTTTGCAGGAATTATGAATATGTCATGTACATGTATGTCCTATCTGTGAAATTTAAACGTTAGCAGTGTCCTAATATTCAAATTATGCAAGGAAACCCGTTTACTTGCTAGACTTCACTGTCAGACACTATTGAGTGACTGACTGGCTTTTTTTCTTCTTTGGTAATAACATACATAAAATGAGCTGTAAAGGGTACATGAGCATTTGTCTGCATCAATATAACCCACTTCTTGTGATGGCCAAAATTAAACCGATTGAATCTTTGAGCAGCATAAAATGTATGACCATTCGGTACAATGGTCTGCAAATCAAGACTATTACTTATTGGCTCTATAGCTCCTAAGTCGATTTGACAACTAATAGTCGTTATTTTCCCACTTGAAGACATTTTCAAACCCCACCTTTTTTAGGGAAGTTCTAAATATGTATTATCAAATGCCATTGGAATTTAACCTTTTCATTTTTTTGGCCTGCAAATGGGACATAGTACCTTTAATAAGCTCTGTTTTTATTATTATTATTTATTATTTTCTCCGTCTCTCTGTCCCTCCCTCCCTCCCTCCCCCAATCCCTCCCCCTCTCTCCCAATTTTACAGATGGTGAGCTAGGTGGCACAGGGAATGCAGTGAAATGCATGATGAAACAGAAGGCCAGGCTCATGGAAGAGAGGAGAAAAGCCAGGGAACAGGGAAAGGCATAGATCTGATTTTCATTTTTAAATGTTGAAGTATTGTGAGTCGTATAACCAGAGTTCTACATGTAATTACATGTACTATCAATCAGCAGTTCAAAGTGCGATGTTGGTATAGTGTGATGCCCCCCAAAAAATACATGTTTCATTGCAAAAAGGTACTTCTAGGGCCTTAAAGCACTTCAGACACTAAAAACTCTGAAATTCATTATATCCTGTGTATAAAATACCTGTTTGAGTGAATTGGACATATGATATTGGTTTTAAACACAGGGCAAAGCACCAAAAATGCTTAAAAAGTTCATGGTTTCTGATGTGATACTGGGCATATATGGACAAAACTACATATATTGATGATGGATTGATAATTATGTCTATGAACACTTCAACTGCAACATAGTACAGTTTGCATAATATAGTATACCAGCAGATTCAGTGGACTTTTACGTACACATAAACTTGCTATTTTGTTTTATGAAATGGTATTTCGTTTATCAAGCAACATGTAGTGAAACATGACAGAATTCAGGATTCCTATTTTGATTTTCATGTCGTGTTCAGCATGAAGAAAGTTTTAGAGAGTGAAAGATTCGATGATTAAAACCCAAACAAACTCAGAATTTCTTTCTTCCTTTAATTCAAAATAAATCATTCAAAAAAGTAAAAGATGAAACATGATTAGTACAAACAAAGTATGAACATGTTCAAGCTTTGTGAAATGTTCACATTTGTTGATTACATGTTTTATTGTATGGACTTTGCACTCAAAAAAACAAACATTAAAACTTTGTAGCTGGCAATTTTTGTTTAAATATGGTTCAATTACATTAGGTGATTGATTGATGATGTTGCATCAGTCATTTGTGTTGCCATAATCACTAACTACATCAGTCAAGACACTAGTGGAAGTTTCAGTTCTGATAAAGCTAAAAGCTTGTTGAACTACACTCACTTGCAACTGCAAGCCTAGAAAGAATCTGTCTGATGGAGGAGTTTTTAAACATTATTGATGTTTGTAGGCAGAGCCAGACATAGTCTCAGGGGAGCACATTCCCGGACGAAACAAACTGACTGACTTTTTCGGTCGAATGCAAGCTGTGATTGCTTGAATGCTTATACCACTCACAATGCTTATGTTATTTGTATGTAGAAAACTTTATCATCAGGAACATTAACTGACATCTGTACTACTTTCACTCACACAAATAAGTTTTCTTTCCATTGTTTGGACTGTATTACGTCATAAAGTGACATTAAGTTTGCAGTTTGTGTGGTAAAAAAAAAATTATGAACTGAAAGGCCCTGAATGTATTGATTCAAATAGATCAAGGGGTTCGGTGAGTTACGAGTAGGACAGTTGGTTGATGTAGTTTACACCCTTATGTGAAAGGGTTTGAGAATCTGTATTATAAGAAACAAACCACTGGACGTTTGTCAAAATCATTAAAATGTTGTAAATCAAACATACAATTGTTTTATCTTAATTTTTGACACTACATTAGTATGTGCATGTAACTCATAGTACTTAACCCTTTCGAGACTGGAATTATTTTAGGCCTAAATTGATCACATATTGTTCTTCAAATTGGCAGCAATAATGCTTTTTTTTTTAAAACTGCTACATTGTTAACATAAAATGTATCTGAAAACAATATACATGGCGACAATTTAGTTGTGTAAAGTTAAAATTATGTCCAATTTTGATTGAAAAAATTATTTTGAATCTCTCATTGTGTTGCTAATTTAAGGATTCTAAAGATTATTTTCCTTTGTTCTTTAAATTCCTAGCATCAAATGCAGTAGTCATGGAGCAAAAATGAATGCAGTCTGTGCAGCATTTTTGGCCCTTTCTACTGGTGCATCTGGCATATTTTTAGGGCTCTGAATCTTAAGTTTATTGAGTCAAACCACAAAGTGTGGAATGATTGTCATGAAAGGGTTAGGTACCGACGCCATTAATGAATAATGAATAGCCAAGACTGATATCATTGCAGTATCACAACATTTTGAATGAGTTGAAAGCAGAGGTTCAAAGAGACGCTCTATTCAATTTGGCACATATGAATAGGATAGAGCGACCCGACTGTTCAGAGCAAGAGAGTAGTGTTCTATTGTTTTTAAAGTGTATGAGTCAACACCCTTCTGGCTCCAGACAGAAAATCTCTTTTACAATCAGGGTTGGGCGGTAAATACCAGTGGCGGTAATTACCGGTAAATACCTTCCGGTAAATAAGATGTGCGTCCGGTAAATATGTAAAAAACGGGAAATATGATTTTAATTCTCTATTTATTAATAATTTCACTTGTTTTTAGCTTCATAACTGAAAATATTGTTCTGAAATAATTAGCAGCACAATACTCATAATAGGAACACACAAACAGATTTATAAAATCCTCACTGCATACAAAATTGTACACACCCAAACAAATGGCATTTTGTTCATATGCTAATTAATAGGTATTCATGAATATGGTAATTAGCAACTGGGAGGCAAAACCTTCATACAATTTACTTTTATTGTAAAGTTTAAGATATTTGAATAAATTCAGTGAAAATTTGAACGAAATCGGGCAAGGAATAAGGAAGTTAAAGCTTTTTGAAATGACTAGTCACTAGAGGGCGATATTCAATTTGATGACATCATTTGTGGACAACTCTCCATGCCTTTTGTACATAAAATTTCATGTTTTCCTTCTTTCTTGTGATTGAGATAATAGAATGCAAAATGATATTCTACTTCACATGTTATGAAATTTGATCAAGAACACAAATAAATAGGAAAAAACGAAAGGCTTGTGAAATTTGATGTACAAAAGGCAAGGAGAGTTGTCCACAAATGATGTCATCATATTGAATATCGCCCTCTAGTGACTAGTCATTTTAAAAAGCTTTAACTTCTTTATTCCTTGCCCGATTTTGTTCAATTTTTCACTGATCTTATTCAAATATCTTAAACTTTACAATAAAAGTAACTTAGTATGAAGGTTTTGGTTCCCTTTAATGAAGAACATCATATCTAGATTAGGTGTATATTTGGTATCTTTTTCCTGTATTTTTTTTCCAGCATTACATAATTACAGACATAGACAAATACAAACACACGAACAAACACTTGCACACACACACACACACACACAAATAGTACACACAAGAGCAACCATACTCACCACCATTGTTATTATGTTCAAAATTGGACAATCCCTATGAACAAGTGAGTGGAAAAATATATTTCCCGGTATTTCCGGTAAAAAGTGGTAAATATCGGGAAATAAGCCTCCGAAGCGGGAAATATAAAAAATAATAATAATAATGTTCAATTCTTATAAAGCGCGTATTACAAAATTTTCTCTACGCACTTAGATACGAGAGAGAGAGAGAGAGATAGAGAAGAGAGAAAAGACATGAAGAATATTGAGCTTTCATCATTTAGCAATTACAATTATGCCAACCATGTTTACAATAGAGTTATATTGTGCTATTGCACATAGAATTCAATTCAAATTTCAATTAAGGGGGGGGGGGGGTTGAAAGTTGAATATTTACTAGCATAGTTAGGTTAATTTTAGTGAAATCAAGATCATCAAGATCATTGATCAAGCCATAAATTCATATTTCCAACATCATATTTAGCTCATCCGGCCCGAAGTGCCTGATGAGCTTACGCCATGCCGTGGCATCCGTCGTCCTTCCGTCCGTCCGTCCACAGTTTTCAAAATGCTTCTTCGTTTTTCAACCGATTTTGATTCTGATTGTTTCATATGATAGGGCTAGGAGGGGGATTTAAAACTTCTACACAGCATTGTGAAATTCATTTTCTATGCTAATTTATGCAAATTTATTCGAAATCACAAAAAATGTTTCTTCTCCTTCATTTCTCGACAGATTTTGATTTGGTTTGCTTTTTTATCTGGTAGAGCTAATTTTGGTACACTAAACTTCTACACAGATTTTGCTCCATTGATTAATTATGGTAATTTATGCAAATTTATTCAAAAAATAATTTAAAAATCACAAAAAATGCTTCTTCTCCTTCATATTTCAACCGATTTTGATTTGGTTTGCTTTATATTGTAGAGCTTACTTTGGTACACTAAAGTTCTACACAGAATTTTGAAATTGTTCTCCATTAATAAATTATGGTAATTTATGCAAATTTATTCCAAAAATATCAAAAATTCCATTTCCTTTAGTTTCTATTTACATTTCTTTTAGTTTCTATTTAATCTTGTACAGCTAAATGAAATAATGTCCCTTCCAGGGCATCAATTTTTATTTTTTGACCAGTTCAAAAGTGTACCACATAAAATTTACGATATTTGTTGTTGAGAGATGCGGATGAGTGCTACGTCATTTATGTTCTGGTTTAAATTCTGCTCTCCATGCATTTCTCCAGTTATTGAGGTGACATGCATGTTAATGCCCGTAAGCAAGCAAGCACGTAAGGATTATCTGCATTTTTATTGATACTACATTATCGATTGTTAAATGTGAAGTACATGTATGTTACAGTGATGATGATGATGGAAAGAGAGAGAGAGAGAGAGAGAGAGTAAGAAAGGGAAAGAGAAGAGGTTTTATATCATCAGTATTAATGGAACAAAAATGCAAATGGAAAGAGGATAGATAGAGTTTGTGGAAGAAAGCAAGAAACAAAATAGTAAAAGGGGGAAAAATAAGAAAAAAATGTGGAGTTAGGAAGAGACCAAGTGAAAGACAAGAGAAATGTAAGGCAATTATGCAATGCTTATCAGTTTATCTGAAGCAATGTCATCATTGTAAATCTTTATTAGCTCCCTTATGTTCCATCTGTTCACATCATTCTAATCGACCCTTTCAAATCTGCACATCATTTGTTTACTATTTGGTGTTTTTTTTCCATCTGGTGCACCCATTCTTCCTCCCTGCCTGTCTCTCTCTCTCTCCCACTTGTCATTAATTTCTCTTCTTGCGTTTCATACACATTGCTTATGCCGACCTTATATCCTGTGATACGGACAACCTTTAAGAATTAGCTACATTTTAGAACCGGTTTGATGTGCCTTTTTTTTTTACAAACTTGTTAGGTATGTCCATTCTTACTCTTCTCTCCCTGTTTCTTTGCCTCTCTCAAAACTAACCATAAATGTGTACTTCCTAATCTAATCATGTACACATACTTTCTTCTCTCTGTATCTCTATTATCATTGCCAGTGCTTACCACAGGATATGCAACTACAATACTTCCAATTGTATGTGGAAAACATACAGTAAATAAAGTTGAGAGTTATCTCACCGTATCATATTTTACTTTATTTTTATATAATTTTATTATGATCACTCAAGTCAAGGCATGATTCACAATTTCACGAAGGTACAAATTAATCGGCATAATTGAAGGACTTCTCTTAAAATATATACACACTATAATACATGGCACAAATATATATAGAAAACAATCTTGAAAATAGAATAGAGAGGGGAACATTTAACCTAATGAATATATACCTAAAGAAGATGTTATTGCAAGTAAGAAATTGCAGCTAAGAATGTGCTATTACCATGAAACTAGAAATATATATTGTTCATGAATCGACAACGAGATAGATTATGTGCATCAAAGGACGGATGTATTCGTTTCCTAATGAAACTTTGGAATGACAAAAACTATATTTCATTGATACAAATAAAACTATCAGTATTAAGTACTCAAGCAAGTCAATACTAAAAAAAACATGCACATCTCTGAATTGCTGTTGACATGATATACAAACATCCATCCTAGTAAGACAAATTTCCCTCATGTCCTGCATGGATATGCAAGTTAGCGCACATTCCAGCATATTACTACATTCTAACCAAGTCCAAATACCTAGCAGTCCTCATTTTATCAAGGGGTCAACTGACATGGTACTTTCATGTAGCTTTGTTTATCACTCCTTCAATCCAGCTGTTGCTTGAATGGCCAATACTGTTTCAGATATTAGATAAATAAATAAAACTTAGGGCTTGCTGTTTTTCAACAACTACAAAAATGAGCAAAAGGTTCAGGTATATCTTTAAAAATAAATGCTGTATTTTGTTTTCAATACAGGTTAATATTTCACTATTTGCCTTTGAACTAAATTCCAATAAACATAACATATCAGATAGTCAATTGACATTGATTCTTGTTGCCATAAGTTATGAAAACACATCTTCGTTGCCTTCATGGACTGATGAGGATATACTGAAAATGCTCATTTTTGTAGTCGTGGTATTAACAATTTCGGACAAACTGAGCACAACTGAAAACAGTTTACTGATAGCAAAAAAGCTTGGAGGTGGATGGGTAACAGGTGCGGAACTTGAGGCACTGAAAATGCTCACTTTTGTAGTCATTATTTTACTATTTCTGACAAACCGAGCACATGAGAGAACAGTTTACTGATAGCCAACGAGCTTGGAGGTGGATGGGTAACGGGTGCGGAACTTGAGGCACTTGTCGCGGTCGACAAAGATGCTGTTCTTCTTGAGTGCAATCTCCTTCTCCAGGGCCATGCGGGTGTCCATCAGGTCCTTGAGCGAGGCCTTGGACTCAGCCAGCTTCTGCTGGAGCTTGTCGATGGAGTCCTGGATCTCACCGACCTCTTGGACCATCCTGGAATGGAGCGAGAATAAAAGAGAAACAAGGTTAGATTTTTTCAAAATTTAATTTTTTTATATTTTCATGTTTTAATTTATCCAAATTTAAAGGGTCCAATTCCTTGTTTGTTTACTAAAAAAGTATCTACATGCAATGCAAAGTACCCGCATTCTGGGCAAATCCCAAGGACAGCTACATCCCATATCTGAATCGGAAGATGTTGACTGTCGCACAAGTTTTTTTTTACTAACCATTGTGGTTACATCATGAATAATATCGCTGTTTTCTTGTGGATTTATACCAGTAAGAGAAAATTAATGGTGTCTAAGAGAAAAAGTAACAAACAAATGATCATTTGCAAATTATTTCTAAATGAATGTGCATTTGGCACCATGGACATACCTGTACTGGGCTGGGTCCCTGCAGAGTTCCACATTGGGCCTGTGTGTTCTGTGGTCCAACCTGGTCTGGGCCACCTTCATTGGGGCCTCTTTGTCCTTGACGGCCTGGGTCAGATCCTTGATGTTCTTCTCCATGCCAGCGATATCTTCAACGGTCTGTTGACAAGAAAGCATCGATTATAGAATTACAAATGAATCATCACCACTGGAGTTTCATTCTGTGACTATCGATAAAGCTCTGTGCAATATCAAGAATTTTTATTTTTTAAGACAGAGATATATACTGCTAATTTGAATTAGACAGAGCACCGAGTACGTCAGTCACTCAATCTTGTTGCACCACCAATCACACATTCAATTGATTTTAAAAGAATTCCAAGGATTTGTAAAACAATCATAAACAGGCATGAAGGATCATAATTTAAGCATTAACAATTATCATTTTTTTTTGGTTAGGACCTGCTGACAACTACATTATATTACCAAATTCCCATAGACTTGAAACGTGGTTTAATACCACCTAATGCCGTAACAAATGGGTCGAGAATAATGGTTTGTTACTGCTTTGATGTAAACATTTATTACTTTTGATTAATTTTTCCCATTTGCTATTTTTTCCTTTATGTTTTTGAATGCTTTTTTTTTTATATTGTATGTTTGATGTAAACCCACACTTTTAGATTTTTGACGAGATATTGAATAAAACCTAATTTGAATTGAATTGAATTGAATTGAGAAAGGAATATTCACCTTCAGCAAGTGGTTTTCCATCTTTGTCTTGGCATCATTCATCTCTTCGATGCGGCGAGCAAACTCTGTGTTGACGGTGTTGCACTGTTCCCTCATGTCGTTGGAGGTATCTGTGAGGATCTGGTCTATCAGGTTGCGGAGCTGCTGGGAAGCAAGACGCTCGTGCTCGGCACGGACAACGTTGTCATGCGAAAACTCTGCCCAGGATTGTGGGTTAGTTTGACTGTTGGAATAAAAAATATGTAAAAACATGTTGATGAATACATGCATGATATTCAGTATATAGCAGTAGATTCTAGAAGTTACTTTCAGATGCAGTTTGACTTCGAATATGGCAGATTTTTTACAAAAATCAGTCTTTTATTGTAATGATTAGAGTTTCAAGGATCACATACAGGTGTGTAGTTAATGAGACAAAAACATATTTCTGCTTTCTAAATGCTATATTCTTATCACTCTTAATGACTTAATACTTATAAGTACAATGATAAAACAAGAACTGTCATCATTACTCTTTCACTAGATATTCATCTAGCTCTGATTGTATTTGATGATGTAATGCTTGCAAGCTTGTAGGAACTACCAGTTTAATGCAAAAAACTTACACTGCCTCAAATTTGGCTGATCCTTCCTTGTACTGGATCTCGGTTGAATTGTTGTTAAGTCCAGTACATTTCTCATCAATCTTGAAGGCAGAGAGTTTATCTGACCAGTCCATGGTCAATTTGTGCTTTGAACCACGGTTGAGCCTGGGAAGAAAAAGATAATAACAATGATTAAAATAAAAAATAAATCATTTTGTAAGCCTGTCACTGCTTCAGATAATTGACATATCAGTTAAAGTATCACAATGAAGTACATAAGAGGATTAATAACATCAATATCCACATTGACTGAATGTTCCCAAAAGTGATATTACTTTTGCAATAGAGTAACAAGGTTCATCTCAAGATTTTTGGTGAAGCAAACAAACGAAATATCAGAAGCAAACGTTCTTTGATTCGAATCGTCAGATCTAATGTATGTTAGAGGTAAAGTTGAAATAGTTGAACTGTCAGATATACAGTACTTACTTGATTTGTCTATCAGATTGTTCTAATGTTCTCTTGAGTAGATCTTGAACTTTTGTGATGATATCTACCTCCTGTAAGAGAAAAAGAAAATGAAAAATGAACTGGTTTATTACAAATGTAATTTAGTAATTTTCTTTTGATAAGTGTATACAAATGAAATGTTGATTCAGGATTATATATCCTCATTAAAATGAGAGAGATAGAGAGAAAAAGACCAAAGACCAAATGCAAGCAGGGTTATATTTTGGTACCGGTAAATCAAATCTACTCTGTAGTATAACCAGTTAATAATCACTCGTCCGCGTCACTTGCACACTTTCCTAGAGTGCCTCACATACAGACAATACTAAATTTTCTTACATCATTGAAGCATGTTTTATTCACCTTATTAAGAGCCATCTCTACCCTGTCTCCAACGAGATCAATATCTTGCCTCCTTGACCTGCAGGTCAGATTATCCCTAGCTATCTTCAGTGGCACTTCTGTTGCATCCAGCGCATTTTCTAACCGCTTCTTCTGTGCACAGAGCAGGTCTGTCTCCTCGATCATCTCCTCAATCTCACGGTTGAGCTCAAACTTCCAGAAGTTGATGTCGTTCATCCTGTCCCCGAGCTTCTTTGTGACGTCGGCCTGTGTGCGCATGGTCAGAGCATGGGTCTCGTTCGAGAGCTGCTTGGACTCGTGGCATAGCCTCTCAGCGTTATCGCGGTCTGTGAAACTCTGGAAATATTTGTTGTAGTTGGATTCGTGCCATTCCTGAGTGGTGTGCTTGCCGGAGCGGAAACCCTGTGCGGCCGGTGCCCCAGTGGGAACACCATAGACCCCGGTTTCACCTAGGCCACTCATCTTGGCAAGATCTTGAGACAGGGCCTGGTCTGTCTTGGTTCCTACTGTGGTCTGTGTTGGATAGACAGGGATCGTTGGAGCATAGCTCCTGGAAAGGAGAGTTGCACCAGCATCCATGATGGAATTGTTTGCTGTTTGGAAAGAAAGAAAAAAAATCATGCTTGTTACTTTGTTGTATGAATCTTACTACAAACAGACTTAAAGTGAAAATTGGCAAAATTCTCATTAATCAAATAGAAAATCAAGTTGACACATGAAGTCTAACATTCATTCTCGGATTCTTCCAAAAAAGCTACATGTACGATATACCCAGTAGAATTCATGAATTGTTAATTTTCTCAGGACTCAGTCAAAGACAAAGTCAAACAACATTTCAATTTTTACTTCAGCACAGCTAACATTTTGTAACAAGCATCATGCATCATGCAACAGACAGTATCAATCATGCAACTAGACCTAGACCCTAGTCTACAACTCAAAATCAAATTTAAGATCTCAAATCAAGATCTGATCCATAGATCTAGGCCTACTAACTATTCGCACTGCACTGTTGTCCACATTTGACCAAAAATATCATTAACATCGAGGCTGCCAACGCCCTTTCCACCGACCGCCTGGCGCTGGCCCCGCACTGTAAAATTGCGTGCTGCCTTAGCTTGGCTGCTAGTGCTAGATTGAGAAGCGGGTTGACTCGACGATGAAGAAAAAAAAATGTTTTGACAAACTTATATATCATAAATAAGCTCTATCTACAATGAAAATTGATAATTCATTTACTTACCCAGTGATTGTATTAAAAATATAGAGTTGAGTAGTTTTGGTCGGTAATAAAATCTCAAATCTAAACAGTTGCTGCGGTACGAAGTGAATGGTGGGTCCGCGGGTCACTTGAACGCTTCAGTCGCGGTGTACACGGAAATCACATGTGTGCATGCATTGTTTACATCGCGATCGAGTCAGCTGTATTACGTGTTGTCCGTTACTATGGGAATCGCCATAGTTACAGGCCTTATTGTCTCGCTAGATGAATCTCGTGCACGCGATGTCGTGCACGGCGAGAATTTCAGTAGGATGGTTCATTGTTTGTCACAAGATTTAGACATGTAGAGGTATTTATTAGATAGAGGGATACAGTTGCTTGCGCAGGATTTTTTCAAGGGGGGGTTAACATTTTTAAATCGGGCCGAAAATTTCGCAACGCCTCATCAGTCAGCCGCTGAATAAGCGGGGGGCGGGGGGGGGGGGGGGGCACGGTTCCATCAAAATTCACAATTGAAGGGGGGGGGAGTTCTACCCCCAGTATCCCCCAAAAAGACCCTTCTTACATAAGAAAAGTTCCCCTTTAACTTTGTAATTAGAAGTGCCTTTTTATATAGTAAACTCTTTGTAATACTTCGACGAGTGCGCCTATGAGTTTGCGATGCCCCTTCCCCTTTTCACCTCTGTTAAGTGCCCCTTTTTATTTGGAAACGTGCCCCTATTTCTTCGACAACTTCCCATATTTTCCTTTGCAATAAGTGTCCATTTTCCATCATCATTAAGTGCCCCTTAATTTAGATCTCTAGTAAGGGCTCCTTTTCAGGTAGGCCTAGAAGTGCCCATTTTCAATTTGGATAAGTGCCTCTTTTACTTTGACAAGTGCCCCTCTTCCTTTCTAATACGTGCCCCTTGTCCTAATGATAAGTGCCCCTATTATAAAAAGAGCCCCTTCACCTTCTCATGAATGCCTCTTTTCATCTCTGGTCAATGACCCTTTTCAGTTACAAGAAGGCCTGTTCACTTCAGCTAAGCGCCCCCTTCACCTCCGATAACTGGCCCTATTCAAATCTGAGAGATATGCTACTCGTTTTAATTTGACAAGTGCCCATTCCCCTCCTGGTAATCTCTGATGAATGTCCCTTTTCCTTTTTTTAATAAATACTCCTTCTTCTAGGAAGTGCTCCTTCCCCTTTTCATAATTACTCCTTTTCATCTCTGATAATTAAGTGCTTCGTTCTCATGAAAGCCTCCGTTCACCTCCGATAACTGCCCCTATTACTATCTGATCGGTGCCCCATTTCTTTCAAATAATGCACATTTTCCTTTATTATCAGCACCCCTTTTTAATTCTCAATAAGTGCCCCTTTTTATATCTGGTCAGTGCCCCTTTTTCAAGTGCGATAAGTGTCCTTTTTTAACCTTTGATAATTTACCTTTTAACAATGATTCGTGCCCATTTCCCATTCTTATAAGTGCCCTTTTTCATCCCTAGTGAGTGCTTCTTTTTGTATAGGGCTGTGTAAGAAAAGCCCCATTTTCACCTCTGATAATTAACATTACTTGAACAGGTTCTCCTTTTTCTTAAACGCGCCCCTAATTTCAAGCGAAGAAGAGCAATTTCCCCCAATTATGAAGCTCGCTTGCATTTAGATTCATGATATAACGGTGTTACTTATCAAAGGTCTTTTCAGTCTTCCGTTTTGAAAATGTGCTTATAACCCCATCAGCATCGTTTTTCCCCTCGTAATAAGATGTAATTTTTCGCACTGTGACCTCACAAATCTTTAAATTTTCCCTCGCTCGCAAATGAATTTTCAGACCATCACACCCAAGTGCAAAGCATGATGGCCGGTTCTTCATAAGCCGCCGAAGATGGCGTTATCACTCAGAGGTGGCCACAGGTGCATGATGTATAGCAGGAGCTAATTATGGTTCATAGCATATTGCATGTACTATATTTTTGTATTGAAAGGGATAGGGGCACATCGATGTTGATGTGCCATAATCACGAACACCTTTGATAAATCACATCATGTATTTTCAATGGCCTTGTCCACCATCTTTTGAAAATGTGTAAATATTAGAGTGACGTAATTAAGCGCTATATAAAAATTAAATATTATTATTATTACTTAATCTGGCATTCAGAAAGTATTCTACACATTTTTACAGATATCTCGGTTCATTACAAAAAGATAAACATACTATGTGTCCCTTTTGCAGCCAACATCAAATTTTGTAGAACTTTGCAGGAATTATGAATATGTCATGTATGTCCTATCTGTGAAATTTAAACGTTAGCAGTGTCCTAATATTCAAATTATGCAAGGAAACACGTTTACTTGCTAGACTTCACTGTAAGACACTATTGAGTGACTGACTGGCCTTTTTCTTCTTTGGTAATAACATACATATAATGAGCTGTAAAGGGTACGCGAGCATTTTTCTACATCAATAACTTCTTGTAATGGCCAAAATTAAACCGATTGAATCTTTGCGCAGCATAAAACGTGCGACCATTCGGTACAATGGTCTGCAAAATCAGACTATTACTTACTGGCTCTATAGCTCCTAAGTCGATTCGACAACTAATAGTCGTTATTTTCCCACTTAAAGACATTTTCAGGCCCCTCCTTTTTTTTAGGGAAAGTTCTAAATTAGTATTAGCTTTCAAATGCCGTTGAAATTTAACCTTGTCATTTTGTTGGCCTGCAAAAGGGACATAGTACCTTTAAAGCTACAAATCCAAGAGATTGTTATCTAAGTACACATACACCAAAATAGACAGCTTTTTTAAAATTGCCAATCTGACGAGTTATAATTAGTCCCTAAGAGTATTTATATCACCAATTAAACAACGAAAAACAAGTTGGTTATCTTTGTTGTCAACTACATTGTGATAGCTGTATAAGGAAAGAACGATAAGGTGATGAATTTCATTGAAGCTAGTTGGTAGCACCGTCTTAATTGTGCTCTCGTATAGTGTTCGAATCACCTAAAAAAAACTCCATGATGACATCAACCAAAACAAATTCATCCGGCATTCTATGGTTTGACGGATAAGGAGTATATTTGTACAAAACTGTATTATGTTGTATAAAATTGAAGAACTTTGTATAAAATTGAAGAAATTTGTATAAAATTGCAAAACTTTGTATAACATTTTGCGAATGCTGAATTACTAGATAAATAACATTCCTTTAAACAAAAACAAAAAATCTTTATAGGGAAGATCGGAGAATTAAATCGACTTGTCCCATTTTCTCTTTCCCCTTTGGTATAAATATTATGGTGATCCCAAACAATTTTCCACTAAAATGATTAGATTAACCGAGTTTATAGAAAGCTGCGAGAAAAAAATTCCAGTCTAAAAAAAAATAATGATTATCATAACGGAAATGCTCATGAATGAGTCGGCTAGGAGTGTAAATTAATCAATTTGAAAAAAAATCCTCGCAAACTTGCTCAGTGTAAGTGAAGCCATGACAACAACAACAACAACAATTAACAACAAAACGTAATATTTTGGATTGAACATATTTATTTTTCCACCGCAACTTTCCTAAAATCACTTGTTCATATCTTGTATATTTGGATTATTCTTTGAGCCTATTGAATAATAATAATAATAATTTAAAAAAAAATAACATTAACAAAAATATCAACAAATAGGCCCTAAACATAATTATAATGAAATGAAAAAGAAGATGGTAGTCTAAATACGCCAGCACCAATCACTAACATAGACAAGTCATGAGGGTCACCAGAAAAAGTATGGGGACGCTGATTGGCCCCTCACTCTATTTCTCTTCCCCTCCCTCTTATCTTTCCCCTTTGTTATTTTTGTTCGCCATCGGGGGGGGGGGGGGCTATAAAAAATTGTGTGTAATTGTGTTTTTACAGACGTGTATCAATCAGATGTAATTATTTCCGTCTATGGACCGACCCTTACCATCCGAAAGACGTGATTCAGTTTGTAGGCTAAGACAGAGAGCTGACCAAGTGAGCGATACCGCTAGACATTGCAACTCACATCTCCCTAATATGAATAATTTATTAATGATTGCTAATATACAATAGCAATCGAAGGAACCCTTTCGGCATACTGGTGGTATATAATGCATGTATTTGTTTTAATGACAGGGGCCCATGCATGTATATCAGTGGCGAATACAGGGGCCCCCTCCCCTGGGGAAAAAACGTGTAAAAACACGTTACTTTTACCTCTTTTTGGAGATGCCCCCCCCCCTGCGATTTTTCAAATTTCCAGGGCCAAAAAACAAAATGTGCTCACTACCACCCCCCCCCCCCTCCTAAGAAATCCTGGATCCGCGCCTGATGTATATATACCAACATTGCAATGACCTTTCATAAATCATGTCATATATTTTCAATGGCCTTGTCTACCATCTTTTGAAAACGTGTGAATATTTAAAAAGACGTGATTGATTGATTGATTGATTGATTTTTATTCGACAAGCTTCCAATATACAACAATATACAATAATAACAGATCAAAAATAAGTCAGCTTGAACAGGATAACCCACGAAAGCTCGAGAGCTTATTTCCAGTGGGGTCCCTTACAGACATGTATACAATTAATAAATTAAAATAGTAATATTTACAGACAGATAAGAAAATTAAAAGAACTACTTATTAAAGATAATAATAACAACATTAAACTGATGATAGAAATGATATTAAGTACAAGAAGAAAAAGAAGAAGGAGAAGAAGAAAAAGAGGAGAAGGAAGAAGAGGAAAATAATGATGAATTTGTAGAATTTCTATAACGTACGAAAACATAAGTATATACAACATGAAAAAGTATGAACCGACAGAAGAATAACAATTTCAATCATATAACATGTCATTCACTTCTCTTCTCTGACTGTCAAGTATTAGGTATTCCTTTAATTTCCTCTTAAAATGATCATAGTTTCCTATTTCTTTTACACCATTGGGAAGGGAATTCCAATGTTTTATGGCATTGTAATAAAACGAATTTCCAATACTACCTACTCTTTCTGGTAAGTTAAAGTTGAATCGTCTATTTCTTGTATTATAATCATGTACGTCAGTAACAAGATCGAAGTTGGATCGAATATAATGATTCGCCCTAGTATGATATATTTTATGCACGTGATGCAATGCGAGTTGTTTTGATCTTTGGTCGAC